ATCATCATGAGTCTCTCCTCTCCTTTCTAAATTGTGACCTACCATTCAATTTATACCCAATCCATGTCTTTGCCTCTTTTCTCCTCAGTACTTACTCTTGGTTTTTTTTTTAAAAAATATAATTGATAATAATAGCAACCCATTTTCATATATATTATGTGAATTACTTAAATATTTTATATGCATTTTCTTATTTAAATCTCACAACATTTCTTTGAAATAAATATTCCTACTTTACTGAGGTTCCTAAAACCTAAGCAGCTTGCCCAAAATCACGCAATGGTAGAGTTGACATTTGAATCCATGTCTAAATTGTTCCACAGTACAAGCTGTTCTACTATCTTCCTAGTAGAAGGGTTTCTGCATATTCCCTCCAAATCAGTCAACTTTAGGTCAGTAGCCACCTTGAACTCCACAGACATTTTATTGTCTTTTTAGACAACTCCCGAAATATATACTCGGTAGCTCCATAAACATTTTTGACTTTGTGATATATACCAGACACTAGAAATAAAAAAGTGAATAAATTTGAATTTTGTTCTGAAGGATAGGGGAGTGAGTGTATTGGCAGTATGGGAACATTTAGAACAGCAAAATAAGTACAGATCCATAATCCCTTATCCACAATTATGAAACCTCAAATCCTGAAAACTGAACATTATTTTTTACATTATGATAATTTGGTATTAACACCTCACCTGAATTGGCATTAACTACTTACCATCTTTAATCATCCCACTGAGTGTTAACTAATTCATGTAGTTCATTATAGATATATTAATGTGTTTAATTACTAGATGTTATCTCAGATAATGTGTACCATGTTACCTTTGTAATATCCAAAAGAAAATAATAATTTTGAAACATATGTTCTAAGAGTGTGGGTTAGCCGAAACCCGTTTGGCTCAGTGGGTGGAGCGTCAGCCTGCGGACTGAGAGGTCCCGGGTTCGATTCCGGTCAAGGGCATGTACCTGGGTTGTGGGCACATCCCCAGTGGGAGATGTGCAGGAGGCAGCTGATCGATGTTTCTCTCTCATCGATGTTTCTAACTCTCTCTATCTCTCTCCCCTCCTCTCTGTGAAAAATCAATAAAATATATTTAAAAAAAAAAAAAAAGAGTGTGGGTTAAAGATTTATAGGCCAATCAATTGTTATAATACTAATGTAAGAGTGGTGGGTGTGCCTTAAAAGCCTGTAGGAATAGGAGAAACAGAGAGAGCATCAGGCAAGAGGCATTATTGTATCTCAATTATTGAAGAATGAATAGAAATTTTTTCCAGGTAGCCAAATAGGAGGAGAAAATATACTGGAGCTACATGAAACAGCCTGAACAAATTCATGAGAGAGTAATGGTGTAGTCAGAGTAAGAAGTATAGGTAGGGGAGTGGCAGAAGAATGAATCTGGATCAATAGCCAGGAGTCAAATCACAAAGATGCTATGGAATGCCATGCGAAGTTTGGCTAAGGGGTGACCTGGAAGGATGTTAGGCTAAGAGAGCTGAGACTGAGTATATAACTCAGTTGCCAGGACATAACTTGGATTTTCTTTATGCTACCCTGGAATTATTGATAGCACAGCCTTTCACTTTCAAAAGTGACTTGGTTGAAATGTTTTATGGCTCCCCCAAATGATAGAACCAGATATTGATTTTAGCAAGAAAATTGTCAGCAATAGGCAAGATGGAACTGGGGTCAGAGATTTCCACAGGGCTTTTCTCTAAGTTGATAACAAACTTATGAATGCCAAAGCCCATCACTAAGGAATAATGGCATAAAAGAATTTCATAAAATCCCTGTGGGTGGAGTAATAAAAGGTCTCTAATGCCTGACCCCCATTAGAAGGAAAGGAGGAGTGTTCCATTATAGACTGAAAACTACTCCCCTCCTTTTCCCTACCTCACATTGTCCCACAGTTTTCTTATATCTGGGCATTTGGCTCTGACTGGGTAGAAGTTAGCCTGTTGGAGAAGTTAATTGGGTTAAAATATTCATAAAATACAATGTAAATGGAGCTGAAAATACATGAAGATTAGGAAGCCATAACTGTCATATTTATTCTTCCATTTTAAAACCACAGTTAATATTCAGGAAGCACATTCATTTTATACTTTTTGTCTTTCCCACAAGTATGGTGCTGATGAAAATCAAAAGTAAAAATAAAGTGAAGTACAAAATATAAAATATGATCACATTCCTCACCAAGGGAACATAAATGGGAAATATATTCAATTATTGATAATCAACTGGAAAGTAAGGAAAATATTAATGTCTCTATCACATCATATCAAATTAATATTTATACTTAAATTAAGTAGCAGTAAAAACTTGGAATTATTTTAATTTCTGAATGGATTTTCATTAGCTACAGATTGGGAGTTTAAACAGAACCATTTTATCTTACTAATTAGGAAAATGTAAATTAAAACAAGGTATCATTTCTCCCATCAGATCAGTGAAAATTAAAGTACAACAATATTTCTCTGAGATTATAGGAACTGACAAACTCATGGTGTTTTTGTTACAGCCACTCTGGGGTCACAATTTGGAAATATCTAGTAAAACTAAATATGTGCATAACCTGTGACTCTACAATTCTATTTCTAGATATCAACCTTAGAGAAACATCCCCAAATGTGCACATGGAAGAGGGTACAAAGACACTAATTATAGCTGTGTTGTAATAGCTGGGCATAAACTAAATATCCATTATGATGAAGTATTATGGAGCGCTATGTGACATGAACTTAGACCGCAAGTGTTGCTGAATAAAAAAAATAAAGCAAATTGAAGAGTAATATGGAGTAAACCATTTATGTAAAAAGTAAATATGGAGTAAGCCATTTATGTAAGGAATATATTAAACAATTCTGTGTCTTTATGTTTTTCAAGAGGTATTTTTGTTTATTAGTGCTTGGCCTGGACAGATACACACCCAACTGAGATAAGTGGTTGCTTCTGGGGAGGAAAAGAACCCCTGGATTTACGGTGCCAGTTAAAAGAAATTAGGTTTGTTCTGTATTTGTTTGCTAAGGTTGCCAAAACAAAGTTCCACAGACGGAGTGGCTGAGATAAAAGTGTCAAGAAGGGTTGATTTCTTCTGAGGTCTCTCATCTTGGCTGGCAGAGGACCACTTTCTCCCTTTGTCTTCACATGGTCATCCCTCTGTGAGTGTCTTTGTGCCAATCTCCTCTTCTTAGGAAGACACCAGTCATATTGGATTAGGGTCCATCCATATGACCTTATTTTGCCTTAATCACTAATTTAAAGGCCCCGTCTCCAAATGCAGTCACATTCTGAGGGACTGGGGGGTTAGGACTTCAACATAAGAATTTGGATGGGGTAGAGGAACAGACATAAGTCCGCCTATAGCATACTCCTAACATTTTTATTTAAAACAAGTGAAAGAAATTGGATTCGTATTTGACACAAAGGCTAAACTAAATTTGTGAGATAAATTGCAAAGTTATTTGAATCTAGAACAATTTTCCTTCATAGGAAATCTATTTGGTCTTCAGAACTTGAAGAACACTAGAACACCAGATTGCTAGCATTGATTACCTAGGAATATGAACATGGAAGCAGGTAGGGAGATATTTACTTCTTTAAAATAGACTTTAGTTTTTAGAATGGTTTTATATGTACAGAAAAAATTGTAAAGATAATACAAATTTTCTTTTATTATGATTTTATGTTAGAGTAGTACATTTATTGCAATTAATGAACCAGTATTGGAACATTGTTAACTGAAGTGTATACTTTATTCAAATTTCCTTAGTGGTTACTTAATATCCTTTTTTATTCCAGGATTCCATCTAGGATACCACATTGCACTTAGTTGTCATGCCTTCTTAGTCTCCTCTTGGCTATGACAGTTTCTCAGACTTTATTTATTTTATTTTTGATGACCTTGACAATTTTGAAGAGTTCTAGGCAGGTATTTTGTAGAACGCTCTACTACTGCAATTTGTCTTATGTTTTTTCTCATAATTGGACTCAGGCTACAGGTCTAAGGCAGGAAGACCACAGAGGTAAAGTGTCATTTCCATCATGTCATATGAAGTGTACATGCTATCGATATGATTTATCACTCTTGATGTTCAACTTGACCACGTGGGTGAGGTTTCTCCACTGTAAAGTTACGCCTTTTTTACCCCTTTCCATATTGTATGCTTTGGCAGGAAGTTACTCTGTGCAATCCACACTTGAGTAAGGGCATGTGCTCCACTTTCCTGAAGGCAAAATAGCTACATAAATTGTTTGTAATTCTTCTTCATGAGAGATGGGTCACTTCTCTCCCATTTATTTAGTCAATCTTATTAATGTTTTTATTGTATTTCTTTGAATCATTTTACATAATAAGTATGTATTAATTTATAAATATTTTTCAATAAGAATATTGTAAAAGGACTTAGATAACAAATCCTAAACTAGTTTTGGACTTTGGAAATTAGGAGCATGCAAGGTTATCAAACTATAGAGTTTGAAAATATAGCTAATATTGCACACATTCTCTATGAGTAATATGTTATTCTCATTTACACTATATAAAGTGGTTTATACAAATATTTAATGTTATTTCCTGCTCAGAGAGAGAGAAGGTTGAATTAAAGATGAAGGAAACAGAAGCTTTTTCTGCTTATGCAGTTTCTGAGTTTCTTAAGCTTCATGTCTTCATGGCAGGTTGCAAGTAGCCAACCTTCATTTTGCAAACTCTTGGACCCCTTATCATGTCCTTGGAAATAATACACAACTATCATGCTTTTTTGGTATACAACCAAAACTTTCCCTGGGATGGAATTTTTCAAACATCTCCTTTGAGAATTTCTTGACATAATTACAAATTTCTTCTCCCTACCAAGATAACTTAAAATTAAATTTTTGAAATTCTAAATGAGGAAGCTGTTACTAGTAGTTATAATGTAAAAACACCTTGCCACTTATGCGCTTTTATGTACATATCAATGAACTAGTATTTCTTCACATTGTAATTTCTCCCCAGATATTTCGGTCAGCTTGTTAGCAGTCGTCGTCAGCTTCTGTGGCCTGGCCCTGTTGGTGGTCTCTCTTTTTGTCTTCTGGAAGTTGTGCTGGCCTTGCTGGAAGAGCAAACCCGTGACCTGCAACATCAATGCTCTTCCGCAGGCCCCTGCGAGTGCTCCTGCCGAAGTGCTTGAGACTGAAGAGAAGAAAGAGCTTAAAGAAAATGGAAAGCCAGCACCGAAAGCTATTGAGCCTGCAATAAAAATCAGCCACACTTCCCCCGATATCCCAGCAGAAGTTCAAACTGCTTTAAAAGAACATTTAATTAAGCATGCACGTGTGCAAAGACAAATTACTGAGCCTGCATCTTCAACCCGGTAAGGGAAGTTGAAACATTTAAAACTGTGTGTGTGTGTGTGTGTGTGTGTGCGCGCACGCGCGTTATATATGTGTATTGTGTGAGTGTTGTGTCATTTCAGAAGAGAGAAAAACAGGTGGGAAAGGAGAAAAAAGATAAACAGAAGAAATGAGAAATACATATGAAACAATTGAATAGAGGGAATGGGTAGGACAGATTATTATTATTGACTGTCCCTTGAAATACTATTAGTTGATAATTACTGCTTATAATCTTTCAATTTAGTTGAATTTAACCAATAAATATCAAGAAAACAGACATGGCATGAAATCATCTAAAAGTTCACAATCAAAGCGTAGGAACAGAGGTTTAGTCTACAGTTGTTTAGCATGACACCATAAACGTGGAGTTGCTGGAAATGTTCATTGCTTCTTTGAATTTAGACCATACTCTTACTCTGGACAGAGATTGGTAAGTTCCACAAGAGCTCTGTTGAATATCCGGAACAGTAATGAAAGGAACAAAGAGAGAGACATTTTACCTCAGCCTGGAAAAAATTCATTTAAAATTTGCTTGAATGAAAATAAGTTGCAATAGTGTATTTTAGATTGTGTTAACTATAATGGAAAAAGAGAGTCTTATGAGGAGTCATTTTTTTTCTACTAAGTGTGAGTGGTCTTCAGTCCTTAAAATGAACAACATGCTAGTAGCAGTTTTTCTTTATTTCCCAGAAGTAGTAACTAATTTTAACCTAGCGCGGGATAATAAATGGTACTGCAGGTAAATTGCTAACTGACTTTCTGATCTTACCTTTCTACCTCTCTAAATTGAAGGTACAGCCTAGCTTTCTGACATGACATATTTTTGTTTGTTTAGAAATCTATCAAGTTGACAAACTGGGCATGGGTCATGTTTGCTACTAGAATTGAAAGTATATTCAATATATCTTTTATGAAGTAAAAAAGAATTGTATTTATCAATAAATCCTCTTCTTTCTGAAATAAATTCTAAAGGTATAAGTAAAAATAATTGTTGTTTGGGGGGTAAGGAATTTTGGGATGAAGAGGATATATGGGGTATCTTTTCAATGTTGTACTTTTCTATTTAAATTTTATAACCAAGGTATGCCTCATATTTAGTTATTATTTTGACAAGTTTTCCTGAGCAGTGGTGGCACTTAAGGTTATGTTTAAAATTTTTTATGATTTTTATGTAACATGACCCAATACATGTTTATTTAAATTCATTTATTATGGATATTTATAAAATAATTATCCCATGTGTCACTTTTTAAAATATCTATAGGAAAAGCTGCTTTTAAAATTATCTCATGTAGTTACTTGGTAATCACTACTATCATTGCTGCACACTGTGGCCAAATATTATATGTAAAAAGTATGAAGACACTCAGGAATTTCAGTTAAAATATTCAATTAAATTACAAACATTTAAAAAATATTAACAACAGCCATGAATATATATTGCCTTATTAGCATTCAGAATTATTCAATTCTTTTAGTCGAGAAGTGCACCTTCCATAAGGACACTCAGTTCATGAAGAAAAATTGAGGTAAAGCTATGAAAATTGCTTGTTTTTCTCTGCCCAAAAGCTTTTTGGAAACCTCAGAGAAAATACTATCTTCAAGGTATTATCTCTTGAATATAGAGTTGGCTTATCTTTTTATTCCTAGCAAGGGAGTATGAAAGAATATGTACTAAGAACACGTGTGAAAACTTGGTCTTGGCTACAGAATTAGTTTCTAGAAACAATATACAATAGGAGTGAAGACACATCATTCTAGACCTGGTTTTCTCAGTAATTATGTGCAATTGAATAAATCAGAAAACACTTTTTCTTTGAATCTTAGAAAACATAAAATTGGATTGTACACATCTCATATTTTCTAAAAGAAAAAGTGAAATAGGGATTCATAGTTTTTCTAGAATTTTAATATTTCACCAGCCCTTTTGAATTTTCTTGTTTATATGAGTGGCGGGTAAAGAAAGAAAAAAATATTAATTTTTGCTTGCAATTTAGTCACTTTGCCAGGCAACCTTCCTACAAATCCTCCGCCAACCTGCATGAAGTAAGTGTTGTTAATTATCCCCATTACTTGTGAGTTAACTGAAACCTAGAGAGATTTCAAAATTTGCCCAAAGTCATGCAGCTGGCGAAGAGTTAGAGTTTAAATTTATCTAGATGAAATACATTTTAAGCAATAAAGCCAAGCAGATATAGTTTTTTGCAAAGATATTAGTTATAAGTCTGCTGAGGACAGATATTTTGGAGGTTAGAGAATGAGAGTATCATTCTGCTCATTCTACTCAGAAACAAGGAATTATATATGGTTATTATGAATGACTAGAGTCATGATTTTAATGTTTGGCCTTGGGATGAATTCCATGCAGAAAATTTGATTAAATCAGTTCTCAAAAATCCCAATCTACATAAATTACTTTATTATGCTAGAAATTACCTTTATATGGAGAGGAAGAGGAAGTTGCTGAGTTCATTATACAGTCCACTTAGACACAGAGATCAATGGTACATTAATATAAATCAGATTATTCTGCTCAAATGCTAACTTTTCACTGAGATGTAGCAAAATCAAATCATATATACACAAAAAATGAATTTAATTTTAATGCTTGGTTTCCTCACCTTATTAAGATATCCCAGCTACTCTTCTATATCTGGCTCAGGCAATAGAGGACAAACATCATACTCTTTCAACTTTTAATTGTCTCTATACTTAACATTTTGAGTTGTTCAGAAGTTAACAGCATTGCTGGAAACTGCCACATTTTTCCAGTTTCTCATCTCCCTGTTCAAATACCTGGACACTGGCCCCATCAGCCTGCTAGGCAACCAAACAACCCAGTGGACTTTCATGTGATAACTTTATTACACATTCTCCTAGCATCCATCTTGATTGATTGTTGTTGTTTTTTTTTTCATCCAATAATTATTCTGTACATACTTATTTCTGGGAATAGACAGTGTATTCTACATACTCTTCCACTCTGCTAACTCTAGGGAGCTGGAAAAAAAATAGGCTACATAATGCAGAGATAAGATACTTAATACCAACTTCAATATAAGGAATTACAAGTGCAAACTGTATAGTGAAGAATGCAAAATTCAGATAATAGGAAAATCATTGCCAGCTGAGGCATGGAGGAGTGCCAGCCACTAAGCTGAGGCTAAAGGGAAACTAGGAATTTACATAAATGGCAATTGGGAGGGGTTGTGCATCCCTCGTGGAAACATTTTATGTGAAAAGACATAGAACAAGAAATCTCTCTAAGAAAACAGCAGTTAAATTACCTTAATCAGAATATAGGGGAATAATAGAAAATAAAATCAGCTGGAATTAAAGTGTGAGGAGAAATCATAGTCAAGAGATTCAAAGTCTGCCCTGTCAAAAATATTTGCAGAAGACTCCCTTGAGTAAGAGCTGTGTTTTAGGAAAATAAATTTGGCAAAAGTCCATAGGATAGACTAGAGAAGAAGATATCTACTAGTCTTTTGTATGTAATACAGTATTTAAAGCATAATAAAAATCAGGAAGTAGCAAGCAATAACAAAAAGACAGAAACCTGAGAAAAGTCGTCAAGGGAGAATGTAAGATCCCTTATAAAAAATAAATTAAGTGTCATGTTAGTCTTTTCAAGTTTAGTCCAAACATTTTAAAAGCCTGACATTCAAACTATTACAATCGGATGATACCAAACTACCATTATAGCACTTTCGGTACTTCCACACACATAGCACTATACTGCTTTCTGAGGCAGAGAATCGGCCAAATTCTTTTCTGTATTGCTCTTGACACCTTGACAAAGCACTATGGGAACTCAGGGTAAATAAGGTGGGGCAAACGTAGGTTTACAGTTGTTTGTATGGAAAATAATATAGTAATAAATAATAATACAAGAGTAAACCTGTATTTTCCATACAAACAACTGTAAACCTACTTTTGCCCCACCCAGTATTTGTTGAATAAAAAATAACAACAAATGAACGGAATGACTTCATCTTATCTTTTCTAATAGCTATTTCATGGTTGCCAATGAGGAGGGTCCCTGGTGTTTTTTTCATCATCCTCCACTAGACCGTAACTCTGCCTCTGTGCTTTTTGCACTTGCTGTTTCCTTGGTCTGGAATGATGACCTCCTTTTTGTTTTCTGTAAGATCTTTAAAGAAAATGCATCTGAGAGTCTACTTTTCCTGCCCAATCATAAGCTGTATTATTTAAAGTCATAGTTACAATGTAGCAATTAATGCTTATTGTCCTAATATTGAACTACTGCTGTTCTGCCAAACTACATCCTAAATTCTCAGAGAACAAGGCTGTGAAACCTGATTTCCATCGTTTTGTAGGTACATAATAAACACCAAGTGAATACTTTTGATTGACATCTCTCCACTTCACTTTCTCCTTTAAAAGCATCGTCGGGCAGTGATATAAACTGTGCTCATATTAAAAAGGGGTTAATAGTGGTATACTCCTAGGCATGAGTATGAGGACCAATTTCCCGGGCATTCATTAGTGGTGTTAAGGTGAAGTGAATAAAAACTGGCAAAATAATTTGTTGAGGATGATGAGTAACATACGTTAGGCACTATTAGAGAGGATTCGAAGTACCTACTGAAAATAATTAGGGAACTTAATGGCAGACCCAATGAACAAAAGCAGAAAAATGTACATGGAAAGAAATCATTGACTCATATGTGCTGATGGATTAATAATTAGTTTTGGTTGCTTAGAAAAGTAAGTCTTAAAATCATCAGACACAATGTCAGAAAGAACACTCAATGTATACTCTTAAACAAGATGTGAAGAATTATGTAAAATATGTAAAACTGGATTGCATAGTATTCTTTAAGATATTTTTTAAATTAAATTTCTCTCAAAAGATAGCCAAAATTGCAGTTATCCATTCCAGGACACTGTAAGGACTGGAAAGCAACATGTAACACCAAGGGAGAGTTTAAAAGGTATATAGTTGCCCTGGCCA